TTCATCTGACCACAGAATGGTTTTCCATTTTGCCTCAATCCATTTAAAATGAGCTTTGGCCCAGAGAAGATGGTGGCATTTCTGGATCATGTTGACATATGGCTTCTTTTTTGCATGATACAGCTTTAACTTGCATTTGTGGATTGCACTGCAAACTGTGTCCACAGACAATGATTTCTGGAAGTGTTCCTGATCCCATGCAGTGATTTCCAGTACAGAATCATGCCTGTTTTTAATGCAGTGCTGCCTGAGCACTTGAAGACCACGAGCATCCAATATCGACCATCAGCCTTGTCCCTTGTGTACAGGGATTTTGCCAGATTCTCTTAATCTTTTGATGACATGATGTACTGTAGATGGTCGGATATCTAAAGTCGTGAATTAGTTGCAAATTGCTCCTCCAGCTGTTTTTTATTAGTACTACTTACTTTTCCAGCCTTTCATGCACTACAGTTTCTTATTACATTGAAAGAAATATTTGTTCTGTAAAGCTTGTCCAATTTTGCTATGAAAGAATTCATATGCGGGCAGTGCATGGATATGTCTGTTCACATGTCCTTTATTAAATGAATTGAACGCAACCTTGATTAATTGTAGCATTTATACTTAGTGTTTCCTTTATAAGGTTATTAGCACAAATAGTCTGCTACTCCACACTGTAAATAATCTTGCTTTATTTCTATAACATGCAGATATGAGAGATTTAGTTGCTGAAAGACCGAACATTAGAAAGGACTGCATACATAAACTTGACGTTGAGTGTGTTATGATTTTGGTGGTGGTTCCAGCATGTGAGAAACAGCTTTGTTCTTGGGATTTTCATGCAGTAGAGTCTCAATTTACTCAATTCTACAGAGAATGTTGTGATAAACTAAAAACGTCCAGGGAGTGGCAGGTCTGTAGGTGAATACAGCTTGTTAATGAGAAAGGTCAGAGTAGAATGGCCAGACTTGTACCAGCAGAAAGGCCACAGATAACAGCTCTTTATAACAGTGGTTTGCAGTGGGGCATCTCTGAAGGCACTACAGGCCGAACTTTAAACTGGCTTTGCTACAGCAGTAGTAGACAACACAGATGAGTCTACAGCGGTAATGTTTTCAGCAAATTTGGGTGTTTAAACATTGGAGAGACACTGGCTGGTCTGATGAATCTCAGTTTTTACTGTGATACGCAGATGGTAGAGTAAAAAAATTGGCTTAAATGACACGTATCCATGGATCCATCCTGTTTTAGACCACATCGGGTTCTACGCTTGTCAGCTAAGAACACAGAGTTGAGGCTACAGAGGTTATGCAAACACCAAATGGATGTTTAAATATTGGAGAAATGTTGCCTTGTCTGATGAATCTCGATTTCTACTGTGATATGCAGATAGTAAAGAATTTGGCATAAATTGCATGTATCCATGGATTTATCCTGTCTTGTGTCACTTTTACAGTTTGGTGATGTAAAGTGTTGGTGTACATTAAGACCCACTAGACATCATTCCAAAGCCACACCACATCTTTTTAAATTTACACTAGTTCCATGACAGTAACTTCCAGTAGATCTAATATATAGATCCAATAAAACACTTGTGAGATGAGGTGCAGTGGCAAGTTTGCAGCATGAATGTGATGATATCAAGACAGCATGGACAAAAATACCTAAGTAACATTTTGACCATCTTGTTGAATCCATTCTGAAAAGAATTCTGGCTGTTTTGGAGTCAAAAGAGAGTAATTAGTACAACATAAATGATAAATGATAATAATAGAAGCACTTGAACATACATAAAGGCCTTGATTCTTATGAACATTTAATTTTTGTTACTACAGTATTAGCTCTCATTTTCTTTCACAGTGTACCATTTTCCAGTCTGTGAACTGCATAGTTGCCAGGTTTGTAGTTTTCTCACTATATTGGGCTAGTTTTAAAATGAGGACACATGGTGCATTTTTTCAGCTGTTTTCAAGGTTTTATTGTGGAGAGTAGGAAATGAAAATAAATAGTTTTTTGAATGTTTATTGATTTTGAATAGATGGCAACCCATGGGTGCTCTTGACACACACACACACACACAAAAAAATTATGAGGTAAAATTTGGCCGATACATTAGTTGGCCAATAATCCTGGCTGATATTGAGGTACTGCAGATTTCTCAGTATCAGTTAAACCTGCCGATAAAGCTCTGATTATGGCGTATGTTTTTTGTTCTAACAGCTAGCCTCAAAATGCAGTGTTCATATCATTTCATATTTGACAATTCAGAGTTGACTGAGTCATATCAGTCATATCAGTCAGTAAAACACTGTTTATCTAAATCTATTGGAGTTTATTTTTGACCATACTAAATTATATCAGCTGTTATTATCATGCACCAGAGCTTCTAGCTGTTCATAATCAGTATTGGTTTCATATTCGTTGGGTCCTGCAAAATAAGTGCATCCAATAAGAGCCGTCTTCCAAAGTTGGATTCGTCCTGAGAGTTACAGTGTGTTCATAAGTGATATGTCGAGGATTTCCACAAGTGAAAAATATGATCCGTGGCTTGTTTGAAGAAACTTTCTTTAGCTGTTTTCACTAGAGTTTGATCATGTCTTTTTGTCTGCAAGTGGACATTTCAGAAATATGTCTGAAAAAGCTGGTGTTTGGAGTTTGGTATTCTTTTTGTATGTCATTTCTCTGACAACTTGAAGATGTCTGATGAGGACAAAATGCCTTCTGCGACTCATTTATGATTCCTGTCTCTTCGTCTCCGTAAACATGTTTGACATTAAACGCTGCTGAGGGATAAACTGGGCGTAGCTCGTTCCAGCCCTCAGTAGGCCTGGAGTTTCGGTTCATACTCCCCTTCGCATCAGCCGGCGTGGAGTCATCCTCGCTGTGATTCCTGAACCCCAGATAATGAAGCCTGCTCTCAAAGCAATTATGCACAGATAAAAATCTCTTTCTGTTATAAGCTACAGAGGCATAGAGGCCAGCAGGCAGGGATATTGAGGTCATTTTCATTATAATTGATGGTATTGTGTGGGCTTCCTTGTTTTACTGCTGCTGGTTTTATCAGAGTGGACTTGGTATTTGGTAAGAATTTGCTTTTTATTTAATTCGAGCACATTCTGCCTGCATTCTGCACTGGCTGTTGTTGGGGAAAGGTCCTGTCTTAATGGATTATGTCTGATGGAGATAAATGGACGAGACGCCCTGCGTTTTGTTGAATTCTATAATGAGCCCAGGCAATCCGCCTCCGTGTTGATGAACCTGGAGCTATTTGACATTGAAAAAAGATTAAGAAAGATAGAACATATCAGTTGTGGGTGAAAAGCTGAATCTATATTACAGTTTTGCTGTTAAAAAAGCACTTTTTTATGTGATAGCTGCTTGTATAATCCAGACAGCTTAAATGGTTTGTCTGAGGCAGGGCCAATATCTTGGTTGAATATATGGCTAAAACAATTGGAAGACACTGCAAAACAAACCTGTCATATGGATGTGTCAAATATTGATGTACAGTCCAGTTCAATCATTTATTTTCTATGTGTTCATTGTCAAAGTATTATGTTTCTGATAGCCGTATAAAGAACCTGAGCTATGTGTTTAGTTTTGTTTTGAGACTGAATAAGTATCTTTGAATTGTTTTTACATGTACCCTTACGTTTCAGGGCGACTGGCGGAGCTGCAGAAGAACGACTTTATGACATTAACATTGATTTTCTCCTTCATAACACCTGCTGTTGTTTTCTGTCCCAGTCTGGAGGAATTAAGGAGACGTCTCATGCTGGGCAAACACAGGGACTAGAAAAGCTAAACTTCATCAAACGAAATGGACGCAAAGCAGTGCATGGCCCCCCTCTCCCTCCCTCCCTCCGCCCGTCCCACCTGTCATTCCTGAGAGAGTGTGGGTCAGGAGCGCTGGCCCAGGCTGTGTCAATAAGTGAAGAGATTGCCGTTTGAAGAGAAGACCTCTTCATTGTCCATGACCACTCGCTTGCATGCACTCGGCTAGCCCTCGCATGACCTTGGCTGGCTTTAATTATGCTTTTTTTATATGTGAATGCATCCGTATATGTGTATGTGCGTGGGTGTGCATGCGTTTGTATGAGTGAGTGTGTCTGGTGTTGGGATCTTTGCGCTGCGGATCACGCAACGAATCCCTGAACAATGAACGTTAGTCTGCAGCAGCCTCTGACAGCCCCTCTGTGTGACCGTTTTGCAGATTATCAAGTGAACACTGAGCGTGTTCTCAGTTAACCCCAGTCCATATGTTTGGAGCCATATCCTGAATTTGCTGCTTTCATTTCCCTTTTTACTTCTTTATGGCCTTTCAATGAAATTGAATACTTTCATTATCTTTTATGTGCCTCTCCTTTTCCAAACAGTAAAGTTAGTACATACAAATATTGAAGTCCATCTAGTGTTGAATATTCATGAGCACTGATTGTGCGTATATACTATTAACTGTTCAATTTGAGCAGATTTGTAGCTCATCGTTCACTTTTGTAAAGCAGTAAAGATGAGGGCTGTTATTGGCTACCCAGTTGTTATTGTATACTGAGAGTGTTTCTAATGATGATGAGTGTTTCTAAGACAAAGGTCAAAATGTAATGTCTTTTTATTGCCCTTTGACAGCTCTGAGCATTTTTGACACCAGAACTGCTAAACAAACTGGTGCAAAATGAGACTGTTTGCCTAATTCATACATTGACAAAGTGTTTTTGAGACTTTTTTTGCACTGGATTTTCAGATGATCCAGTACAGTTCTCTTTTCTTTATTACTTCTTTTATTGGCTCCAGTGTTTGACTCTGCTTTAGATTCCAATCCTGAAATGTTTGAATATTTGCTTGCTTAGATCTTCTCTAAAACGTCTTTTTTGCTTTGTAAGGTGTCGCTTAAAAAACAAAGAAACGAAAAGAAAAAAAAAAAGAATCACTGCAAGCTCTTTGTATCTCTGAAGCGCCTTTTAAGGCTTGTGTGTTCTTGTATTCTCTGTTTCCTACATCTTCTCCATTCTTGATCCTAGGTCCTCTTACAAAGAAACAGAATGATGATTTAGGTGATAATGACGGTGCAGAGGATGAAGGTATTTTTTTTTTATGCCAAACTGATATGCATGACAAGGAACCCTCCAATTTTTTTCTTCTTTCTTTTTCTTAAATTTTCTTGTCCTTTTTTTGAGAGTGAAGATTCTTTTTCTTCCTAGTTTTTTGCTGGATGTGTTTTGTCTTTTTTGCTTGATGTTCTAAGAGTATGTCACATGTCTCCCGTCATTCCAGACACGTAATTGTTAACCTTCCATAGGTTTTTGCTTGAATTCTTTTTAATTTTCTTTTCATTTTTACATGTTGCATCCCACCTGAGAAAAAGAACAAAAAAAAAAAACTAATAACCCTAATACCAAAATCTTAACACCTTTTTTGCATGATTTTTCTACCTTCCTGCGTTTTGAGAATTACACTTATTTAAAACTTCTGAAGTAGAAAATCCAGATTAATCTTACAACTCAGCTAAAATGCAGTGACTGTGAGGCTGCTCAGAGCTCAGTTTCCTATGCAACACTGTATGTTCCTGGAATAGGTAATATTCCCAAAGGCTACATACTTACAGCATTAATACTCTATAAGGCATTTTATTGCCTACTTACTTGTCCTTCAGTCAAACATTCCCTTGCCGTACATCTGTACGTACATGTACACTCAACATTCTTTCTGATCGAATGAATACATCCATTGAGTTCTTGATATTTAAATTGAAATACACATATGAATCAGTGGGCGATTCTTAAGCAGCGTTATTACATCAAAAAAAAAATCCTTTCTCGTTAATGACGGACCACAAACTTAACGAAGGTTGCCTTCTGTATAATCAAGTGAAATAAGCACCAATTAGAACCAGCTAAAGCCAGGAAAGAGCTGAGATCTCTTTGATCTGCACATCAAAAGATTAGAGCGACACAAATATACAGTGAGAATCCTGGCGAGCGTCACGCATTAGCTCCATCTAAAATTCAGAGCGCACAAAATAATCCGCTTAAGCGTGGGAGACAATATGCTGGGCCGGGTGCTGTCCCAAAACTTGGCAGGATGCGTTTACAGTACGTTCACCGGACCTGCGTTTTAAGCTGACAGGCCCACCCCCCCAGTGGTACACGGACCATCTGATGTATATCATACACTAAAGTGCTTACAACTATTGTAATTATATGTTGTTATACCATGTCTACTATTGTCAGGTACAGTCTGATTGGCTGTCCACACTGCCATGCTTTTACGCACTCTTATGCACCAGTCCAATAAGAAACAAAGTTTTTCAGGCAGTTGCTCACTGTAAAAAGCACTGAGCTGTATTTGACTTAACTTGGAACTCGGAGCTCGGAATTATAGCATTTTTCACCTCCAGGGGTAAAAAAGTGGGGTTTAAAACAAAAATGCAAGTGCAAAAAATGAAAGTGAATATTGTTAGCAACAAGCTAGTTTTACTTCTCAAAACAGTGGGATCCATCAATTAATGTGAAAAATCTAAACAATCACTGTCTTATCTACAGTTACCTAAGGCAAACACTTCAATAGAAAACTGGTTTTGTATCACTGTTGACAGTATAAGCAGGCACGTTATGACATCTAATGTTAAACTCAGCTGAAAGCCGAGGGCACCCTCCTGACATTCTGAGAAGAAATTTCAAGTTGATGGGGAATTTTCTTTAATTTTTCCTAGTCAGAGCTTGGAAATTCCAAGTTGCAAGCTTTAGTTGAGTGCATAATTAGAGTTTAGTGACCTGTAAATAAAATATCTTTCTGTGTCTGCTCGCACTTTGTTTTTTGGGTCTGTTTTTGTTGCACCACTTCGACAATCCTTTGTCCCTACACTCCAGACCCTAGATCCAAAACAATGGTTTATGGTTTGTCTTTTTACAAGTTAGTCAAATGACCCTGTCCTGTCAAACTAGGTGGATCTTGGGCACAGTAAGCGCTGAATTCTACCAGACTCTGTGACAAAAGGCAGGAATCTGGCTTGCGAGACTATGGTCAGCGCTGCATCCAGAGTCAACCTAAGACTATCACAACCTCAGCATCCAGCTGTTCCTCTGGAACACTAATGGCTTCCAGGAAGCTGAAAGGTGCCGCAGCAGCCGAGCTGTTCTGCTCTGTCTGTATTAGCCTCTCAGCGGTCCCTCTTTAAGCCAGAATGGCTCCCCGCGCACTGAAGAGGCATAATGGCAGCTCTAATATCAGGCCAGAACTGCTGGAGGGCGGCCCACTGTCCACGCTTTTGATTCAAGCACCTGCACGTGAATAGCGTGGAACTGGCCTCATCGCCTCACCAGTAGGAGCTACGCTGATTCACCATGATGGACCTTCACAAGCGGGCGAAGCCAAGTCCTCCGCTGAAGACCAGTGCACACGCTGAGAGGAACCGAGGATTGGTGGGGGCGGACTGAATGACTCAATTAAAAGGATTTATGCTGGAGAAACGAAAGCCTGGTCTTCAAAACTAGCCCTTTGATCGGCCAAAGTAATGCACTGGGCTTGCGTCACATGGACTGTTTGACTTTGAAAATGTTCTCTGTTCTAATAGCCAAAGCACGAAAAAGAAGAAGAAGAAGACGTTCTTTTGATATTATTACTAAGCATTGCATACTCAAAGCTATGCTGAGAACCGGTCTTATTTATAGTTCAGAGAGGGATTGTACTCCATAAGTGCTCCTCTGTTTGTCCTAGTGTAATATTACATTCTCAAGAGAATTATTTAAAAGTGGCTCGCAGATGCAAATGCAGATACAGTTGCAACACAGGTCATGCTGGAAGAATTATTTTCACTCTTTGCTGTTCAAATTTTTTTGTACATTAGCGAGAAATTATTATTCCAATCAGTCTATTATTCCTCCAACATACTGTGGAAAATTCATTTTAATTTGTATGATTTCAAAGGATTTTTGCTCCGTCTCTGTCGTACGGAGCAAGAAAATGAACAACAGCATTCATTTCTTTGAGGAATCGCTATCTGTCATTATCTTCAGTTGGGCTCCTGTATCCTTGCTGTGTTAGTTTATGCACTTGTGTGGATCCAACTGCTCTGGAGTGATTCAATTAATTCATCAAAGTGAATGGGAGATGTGAGGACTCATATATGTGATTTCGGGCAAAAAAAAAAGAGAAAACCAGAGTAGATTTGTCACTGCCTGCTGTCTGGCTTTCCCTTTGATTATTAATATAAACTATCTGGAACGCATTTTGACATGCTCACAAACCCACAGGTACACATATATATTTACATTTTCTCACACTACGGACATGCACACAGAATGTTAGTAGGAAGGAATGAAGAACCTTTAGGATTGAGAGTAAGACAAGAAATATCCAAATGAGAGAGAGAGACTGAGTGAATTGGGACTAACTGAAAGCCTCTTGTCTCCAGGCCTAGAGAAAACATTTTGGAAAATAATTGCATTTTTCATTTGTTCTTCACTTTGTTATGAGGCTTCATGGAAGTGCGTCCCTGAGCACCCAACTTCAATAAATTATCGGAGATTTATGTGGATTCTTTGTACCCATGGTGTACTGACTGTCTCCTTTGAGCAAGATGAAAGTGATCATCGACATTGTTCTTGTTTTGAAAACACCCCCCCGTGGACCGAAACCGTTCGCCCAAAGCGGATTACTTGGCCCTAGCAACGTGCTAATATAGGCTTCATGTGAATTTTAAAATGCTTTATTTGTTAAAGGAAATTGAATCCAATAAGTTAGTTGTCATAGGTTGGAAAAGATACAAAAGGAAGGTCATTAAGAAGGAACAGATGAGATCTCCAAGAGCGTGTCGGCACTTAACTCACAGCTCATAGACAATGAAGGATCAATTTAAAGTTTTCGGCGCTTGCTGCTGAGAGGGACTGGAGGAGGAAAAAATATTGCAAAAAACACACAAATACTTAAATAAGTATACGTGAGTATGTCCAATCAACAGGAACATGACAAAATGTTGCTTAGGGAACTGAGCATCTAATATCTAAAGCCAAACCTAGCTTAGACCACAAAATAGTAAAGCCAGTGTGGCAGATTGGAGCAAAAAGAGAGCCAGCCTTAGTTCTGATTGCATTTTCAGGTGTCAGTTCAAATTTGTCATTGAATTATTTCTTCTTCCTTTCTCACAGACATTCGTGAAAGTGGGAGTCCTAAGCCAGTGATGGTATTCATCCATGGAGGATCTTATATGGAAGGCACAGGAAATATGTTTGATGGCAGCATCTTGGCCAGTTATGGCAACGTCATTGTCATAACCCTGAACTACCGGCTCGGCGTGCTAGGTAAGGGTCCACTCCTTCAGTTCGGCACCACCCAGCACCCTCTACAAGCTGATGAACACAGACAAGGTCACTTTAGAAGTTCTTGCAATGACTTGGAGTGGAACTAAAGTGTCTGGCTTTCGTCCTTAAGCGAGATTATTCTGTCATTGCTTTTCACCAGTGTAGCGTGTTCTCCTGCGAGAACAGATTTAGCCTCCTGTGAGAAGCAAGTCTGCTCTTAAGCATTAAACTGGCAGCACCATATTCTCATCAGCAGTGCATGAGCAATATGTCTTACAGAAAACCAGGCTATAGCGGCAGAGAAATTAAGCCGATAGTCAGTAAGTGCAGCTCACTGTAACCATGACCTTTACTTAAATCAAGGCCAGATCTTCTTGTTAAACGAGAGCTGCCTCTCTCATAGGCTCATTTTCAGTGGAACACACGCACCAGAAAAGCTGCTTGGATAGTTTTGTCGTTAACAGTGGTGGCAAATCAGAACTGCCTCAAGCAAATCTTTATCCATTTATGATCTCGGGTTTTCTACCAAAGAAGGGGGGAAACCTCGTTTTTTTCGGCTGCTTTGTGGGCTTGTGTTTTATAGTGTGTGTTGTGAGAAGATTTCCCAGCATCTTAAATGAGTTCCAGGTAAGTGTATCGTTTAAATGATTTAAGACAATGCACTCCTTTCATCTCCGCTTCAGTTAGGCTCAAAGTAGCCTCAAAGGAACGTGGCTCGGATTGGACGGGAAGATCTTGGACTGTGTCTGGAATGAATACAGTGATGTGTGATTGTTGTTTGAATTTTTGATACTGGCTTCTTCCTCACCTAAACCAAGAACAACACCACATACACACTAAATAGGCTAAGGCACAGGGTTGTGATTGATAGCTAATAATAACTTTATGGTCTAATGAATGTGAATATGGAGCATTAGGTCCATTTCCCTGGCCTGTTGAGAAGCCAGTCAACCAATTTGCAGTCAACTCCTTACTCCCCCATATTGTTGTTGGCAAATCGCTAACACTGACCTTTGATTTATCTGATTTATTTGAGTAATTATTTTGCTTGTAGTGGTTTTATAGGTAACAAGTATTGGACTTTTCTGCTTTACTAAATGCTACAGGCAATAAACTTAGTTTCTCTGCTCAAAGATCACTGAGCAACATATGCTCCATACACTAATGATCCACACTGCAGACCTTCACCTGCTGTAAGACTGTCATACGTTTATGACTCATATGTCATTCAGTAATTGTTGTTTAAGACATCTAAAGCCACTAGGAGGCCTGAATATGTACACACCTGCCACAGCTCCTAATTTGTTGTTATACTGTTTGGAATGTGAATAAAGGCTAATTCCCCTGGGTGTAGAGGCAAAAGAGGATGCTGTGTTAGTGAGAAGCCTTAATGAATTGAAGCACGCACTACTGTCTATGCATCATTATCAGTATTGTTGTGGATTTATGGAGCAAGTCACACTCATCATGCCATTCCATATAAAACTGTACCCTGGCAGCACATCAAACTTGCATAAGGGCCTGTTTAAAACAGCGTCATCGGAGGCATAATTTTTGGCAGTGGCCCTGCTTGCCCTGATCCCCTTCATCAAGGAGATTGATTAGCCACGTTCTTTGAGTCAAGCCTTTTCCAAATATCCTCCAAATCCAATCAATAAGTCGACGTGCTTTGTTTCTGGGGTTAGCCATGCAGCACAGGGATGGCCAGCGCTAGAGAGCAAGTAAATTACCAAAACTGGCTCACAGTACCCCCCAGTTCTATATCTTGGACCTTCTTGGACTTGTGGTTCTAGCAAAAACCTTTCAGTGTTTCTTGTTTTTTTTGTTTTTGTTTTTCTCCCAGGCCAGGTGGTGCCCTTCAAAGCTGTCATACATATGTTGTCACTAAGCCAAGAGTAGCATCATCACACATTAATTTTTTTTAAAAGGGCAGTATTTATTTTTAAAAGTCAGTTAATTTATATCTGCAGAAATCACGTGTGAATGCTTTACAGTTCGTACTGGGCCAAGGACTAATTTGCATGTATTTCTATAGAAATGTAAGAGAACAGTGGTTAGAGTTTAACATTAAGTACTGTTTGGATTTGGAGTTGTTGACTGTTATTAGGAATGCTATACATCAGTGGACACCAGTGAGCTGGACCTGGAAATCGCCTTCGTGTGGACTGTAGTTCGTACCACAATCTGCCACATCTACTCCAGCTTAATAACATCTTGAGAAGTTCTTGATTGGCTGAATCAGATACATCATTATTAGGTAAGGGGGTGGGGCAGCATGTTAGATGCAGGTTTTTAAACTCTTCAGGAAAGTAGACTTCCAGGAGGGCGGTTGCTAAAGGAAGTTGTTTGCTTATGTCTGCAAATATCCAGAAGGGGGAGGTCCATCATTCGCTCTAACAATGATCCACACTTGAGATCCGAATTTAGCGCATTTAGTTCATCTTTCTGTATTTGAAAATAGATGAATTTTATTTTGGCTAAAATATAAGCACATACCTCATAAAAGAAATTGCTAGGAAGCAAACGTTAGCCTGCCAGTTACATCCTAATATCGGTATTGCATCAAAGCAGGGTGGCATGTGAGTTTGGCTGGGTCAGCCAGCTTGTCTATTTAATAGTAGAGAAAACACTACCTTTAATAGTTATACAGCCCCTTAATTATGTGGAGGCTCTTGAAACTTTGTTTGAAAAACTTTGAAAAACTTTCTTCATCCTGATTTCATTTCATTTACGAAAAAAGTTCATATTTTTCATCCATTGAAAGGCACCAAAAGTGGTTCTTCTCTGGCATGTCTCCAGCTAACTGTTTTTATTTTCAAGAGTGCAGATTGACTGGAGATTGAAATTGCTGATGTGAAATCCAAGTAAAAATTCTCCAAAGCTGCTTAATTAAGTGAAAGTCATATGTGAAGTAACACCTGCTCCTATAGTCAGCCATCTCCATGCATAAAGTGAAGCTTTTTGTTTCTTTCTATAATACCTGATGGCAGTAAACCGAGAACAATGCCTCTTTTGTACCAGGATGACAAATGTGTTTACAGCCAAGGTGCTAACTGTGTGTAAACGGTCGTGGTTTTGACTGCTTACATTCAGCAGAGGAGCGTGCGTCCTGTCAGCGTGTCAGCGTGAGGCGCGCGCCGCAGATGTAGCCTGTGTGGGTTTAATTGTGTCTAAGGTGTGTTTGCTCGCAGGCGCGTTAGCCTCTTTGTTTACCTGCTTTTCAAATCTTCAGTGCTGGCTTTTGTTCTCCCCGAAATAATTGGTTTTGGTGTTTTTCTGTAATCATTCCAAAGTGGCCCTGCATTGCGGATTATTATTTTTCATGCTTATTAATTTCTTCTCCCTCGAAATAAATACCCCAGATACTTGGTTTCATTAGTGTTTCCCTCACCACCTCTCCACCCCCTCTTTCTTTTTCTCTCTCTCTCTCTCTCTCACTCTTCCTAGTGTTTGTATTGAGCACTGCCTAGTGTGTCCTTCTATACCTCTTGCTGTCTCTTTGTCTCCTCCCCCGCCTCCTCCCAGTGGGCTTGCCATGGGGTCTTTAAAGAAGCATGTTTAACATCTGACCCTATTCTGTAATGCTATGTCAGGGGAGATGCTTAATTTCAGGGTGTTTATTAATCTTTTAACAACGATTTTACTTCATTTCAAGATCTTTAGTTGGCCTTTTTTTTATAAACTGCTAGAAGACTTAATAAAATCTTTTGTAGGCAGTGGTCGAATGTGGTTAATTTTTCAAGATAATAGTGATCATAGGAAACATGTCTCCACCGGTCAAATAGCATATTCTCCAGCCATGAACTGCATGGATAATGTGCCATGTTTTGTTAATACATTTCGCAGAGAAGCTCTTCGGCTTTTGTTGCGTCCAAAGCGTTAGAAGCACCCTGAAGCTTTAATTGTCTGTATGTGTTTAAGCAGACGCTGGAACTTGAGGCAAGGCATGGCTGACTGTAGCTCAAATGGGAGTTGATATTATGTCTGGTGGCTGCTTTGGTAGAGGACAAAAGAGACGAGCGCTGGAGGACGAGGGCCATCTGCCGCCAGAGAGTTACAGCATTGTGAGTCTTGCTAACTGAGGAGATTAGCCTAGACTGTCCATTTGTGCCCACTTCTTCCCTCCTCCGCCTTCTCCAGACCTTCGCGCTCTCCCTGCCGTCCTTCCAATCTTGCTGCCTCTCCTTCGTCATGGAGTTCCTGACAGGACTGTGGTCATGAGTGCGAATAGCTCCATAGCTCCGGGCTCTGTTAACTGTATGGTTTGATTAAGAAGTGTCACTGTGGTTGAAACTGCTTGAGAAGTTTGAATCTCTGGATGCCAGACATGAGTGTTCAGATTGCAGGGACTCTCTCATCTCGGTGGAGTCTGTCATCCGATCCTGTTCGCTTCTCTCCGCAAGCCCAGCGTAAGTAATGGCATTATTTGAGAAGGTGCTTATCTGATTTCTGAGGTTGGAAGAGCTGCCCCTGCTCCTGTGGTTTTATTTACTGTATCAGGACCCCGGCTGGGAAATTGCACTGGAAGCCGTGTTTTATGTGTAACTCCCATAATTTACGGCTCAGAGCCTACAGGAGTTATCTCTGAGCTAGGGGCTTCCTGTCACGATGACCACCCTCGCCCCTGGGCCTGCTGCTGCATCCATTTTGCCGGCCGACAGCAGCTGCTGTGAGGGGATAGGCAGGGGGGCACCAACAGATGGATGGATGCACATTGAGGCATCCGTCTCTGCCATGGAACCAGGGATTAGCTCGGCCCTGCTCCTGGGCATCTCGGTGGAGACCAACTGCCACTGTGGATGATCTAGCTGCTCAGTGGGGTTCACACGGCGATGTTAGTTCTGCCTGGGGAAAACAGACGGATATGTTTAACACCTTCAAAATGAACTATACAAGAGGCTCAAAGCCAGAGTGAGAGTGGGACAAGGTGGAATTGCTTGAAAAGATATGAACAGGAAACATCTCTACTTTTGGACTTCATTGTTTTGTATGCTTGCAAT